TCAAATTATATATATATATATATATTCATTCATTTATTCAAAGGTCTAATAGACAGGAAAAAGGCCCAGGATTTAGCTCTGTGGCCTGCCCAGCAAACACAAGGTCCTAAGTTCGATCCCTGGTACTCCCCAATAAAAAAAGAAAGGAAACATCTTTTCCTTTTTGAACATCTCACCTGGTAGATCCAAGTAGGCAACTTCTTAACTTTTTCTGTAATGTTTCTTCCCCTGTTCAAACATGGCTTCCTTGCAAACTAATAAATCAGCAAATGACTTAAATCCCACAAAATTAGAGGATGCATTCAAGCAGTGATTCTGTATCCCAGTATTTGTTCTTATTCATGTAGCAGAAAGTTCCTACTCCAACAAACTATCCCTTTAAAACCCCTAGGTGAAAAGCAATTAGTGTGAGTTTGAGCTAACAAAGTGCTGCTTGAGTATCTCAAAGAAGTATCTCTTAGTCCCTGTGGTAGAAGGAGCTATGCAGAGAGATCTCTAATAAGATGCCAGCTCTTTTAAATAGGATCATTTTGACCAGATATGAGAAAGGAAGACAATAGATTACAGAGGATGAAGACACAGTTTTGTTAAATGCTAATGTTTGGAATTAGGATTTAAAAATGTAAGTCCCAACCTTATCAGCTACCACAAAAAGGAAGGCTTTCCCCCCACCTCTTTATTCTGCTTTAACCATTTCAATTTACCCTAAGCATCACTCTGGCAGCCTGTTTTAATTGGACTAGTAAGTGGTTAATTTCATGGTGGTAAGAAATTCTCCAGTTACCCAAGAATAGTATTGCATATTGTGTATCTAACTACGCTGAATATGAGCTGGGTGTGGAGCTTTACAAAAGAGTGAAAGACAGCTTTCCCAATCTATGAGACATTTCCAACATATTGAAATATTTGCAGGGAGGAAGCAAGAGCCCATTTGTCATGGGGCTTGCACAGGGTCCAGCTAATCTGACACTATTCATTTCCTTCTTCTAAAGATAACAAACAAATGACTGTCCCTGGCATTCCAATAGGCACAGTGAAGGATTGCTGATGGTAGCAGAGACAGAGAAGTCTGTTGCCATGAGAAAGTCTAGGCGCTTCCTCCCCACCGCCTCTGCCTCTTGACTTTAGAGTTGATAGCATTTGGAAGTGTTCCAGTGACTATGCAGAGCTGGGGGGGCGGGGAAACAGGAATCACTGAAGACTTTGATTCGGATGCATTTCAAATGTGTTCTTTATGTGTGGCAGAAGAGTGAGGATAGGGATGTGGCTATACAGGTGTGAGAGGGCTCTTTGTCTCTTGGCTGAGGTGATACAATGCGGTCCGTTGTGTACCTCTGTCGCAAAGGCAGGAGGGCAGACTTACTCTGTTGTGTCAAAATGTACAGGGTAACATAGCCAGGCTAATTTGCATCATTTTACTTGCTTTGCACCTGAGTTTGCACACCAGGTTCAGACTGCAGCAAGGACTGCAGTCATTGTTAAACTAACGGGATAGGAGCTGATGTCGGCCTTGTGATTGGTTCACAACAGAGACTCCCAGCTGCCTAGCAACTCGGCTTGAGGAGGATGAGTGACAGCCTGCAGCAGAAGTGTAGCCTGAGGATAAGGATGGTGGTGGAGCAGTTACAATTGTGCTAAAGCAAATGATGACTCCCACTGAACCTGTGGTGTTGAGAGGCTTCCATCATGAGAGCCTGCGGGGGAGTTGGCTGCTGTGTGCAGCAGTCTGGGTGCGAGGCTGGAGAGTGAGGCTGGTACTGGGGTAAGCACTTTTGACTAGTTGGACAGTGACAGTCTGTTTAGACGCCCATGGCTCACTTTGGTCAAGCCCAGCTCCAGCTGTCACCACAACTTTTTTGAGCTACCTGCAGGATTTCATAAAATCCCTACTGTATTCCTAGACCAAATAGGAGTTACTGATTCTGTCAGGGAAGGAAGGCAGCGAACTCAGCAGCGACTTCATTTATGAAATGGGAAGATTCCCAGCTCGACCTTAGGACCTCAATTGAGACTGAGGACAAGAGAAAGGAAGATAGTAATGCAGATTGAGTAACTGCAGGCCATTTGGCCTGTCTTCTATTTAAATGTGGAAATACCCAGTCAATGGTCTCCCCTCTGCCTGCGTGCACATCTCCGGGCCTGGGAAACTTGGTGTTTCCTGAGGTAGCCCATACAGTCTCTAGCCATCAGTTCTCCCCCATACTGCGCTAAAACCTTCCATCCTGGGTGTAGGTTCTGAACTCTTGGGTAAGTCAGCTCATACCGACAGATGACCCCTTTCTTTGATCATCAGAGACAGCTCCTATGTTTCACTTCGCTCTTTGCACAGCACAGTTTCCTTGTTGTGTGATTTTGAGGGCCCTGTTAACCTTGTTACCCGTCTCTTCAGTCTGGGTGGCCAGGGCAGTGTGGTCTTCCTGGTGCAGACGGACTACTGGTTCCCTTGGTGAACATCATTCTTCCGTTAGACGTGACATTTATGGTCACATTGCGTTATTGCCTTGCTCAGAGTTGCCAAGCACTGTACATCCACCCAGAAGACGTACCAGTGCTGCTTTGCTCAGGACTGCAGCAGGGATAAGCAGTGCTTACGGCCAAAATTATTTTGCTTCCCGAAAATCAGGTCATGGTGGCACAGGAAGGAATAAAGTGGAGACTAGGAAGTTGACCGTGTATTGTTGCTTGCTGAGCACGGCAGTGTCCATTTTTCTCCTGTATATTCCTGGTTTAGTCAGTTGTAATTTTGTATCATGCCTAGGAGAGCAGACCCAGGAGAATATGGAGACTTGAACACTCATTTGAGTTGAGGAGCTGGTAATTGTACGTGTTGTTCACAGCGGCACCATCAAGCTTTTGAACTGCCCTTTCCCTCTGATGCACCCTGTAGTGTGAGGAATGAACAGCACCACAGGCCTGTGCATAGAGGAGAGAGAACCTGATCAGTTACAAATACCGCGTCCCATCTGTTTCGTTCTCCTGATTGCTAATGTTTTAAAGTCGCAAACTTGAAATTGTTTATATTTATGAAAGTACAATGTGATGTTTACATAGTGGAATGATTTAATCGAGATGATTCACAAATCTATCACCTCCTATGCATGTGTGTCTAGGGAGACAAGAGACAAGAGGGAGACAAGAGAAAGGACTGTTGGGTATTGAGAATGTTCTGGCAGAAAGAGCACGTAGTATCTGGGAGCAGCTAATGAAGACATTGCTTGCATTATATCATATTCATGATCAAGTATTCTGCCCTGTCTCCTCCTCTGGCATTTTTTACATTTACTGCACTGTGGGCCTTCCCTACAGGGCCCCCCTGAAACCACATTTGTGCCCCCACCCATCTGCCCTACTCCGAAACCAGTTTCAAATATAATTCCTTTCCCTTGCCTCATCATTGCGGTACTGAAGGACAGGTCATGAATCTTCCTAATACAAAACTAAATTCCTCTTAGGAAAGACAAATACATTTTCCTTGCATTTTCAAGTTTTTCCACAATAAATGCATGGAGTTTTCCTTGTAGGGAAAAAAGATAAGTGCAATAAAAAACTTTATTTAGGTGAAGGATAGAATGAGTTCAGTACTTTACTTTTTGACAGTTAGGAATATCTGGCCTGATCATAATTACTTTGATGTATATGAAATCCTGACTCTTTCTTTCTCTCCTTCCTTCCTTCCTTCCTTCCTTCCTTCCTTCCTTCCTTCCTTCCTTCCTTCCTTCCTTCCTTCCTTCCTGTCTTTCTTTCTTTCTTTCTTTCTGTCTTTCTTTTTTCTTCTTAGCAGAGCATTGCAGTCACTATGAGCATGTGAAGCCGGCTGTCCTGGCTTTGATCTTTATTCTCTCTTGATTGGCAGGGGGTGTGATTGCCTTTTTGCAGAGGTGGAATTGGCTACTGGCAGCAGAATTCCTCTGGCTGAACCCCTGGCGCCCTTGCCTTTGGACTCTGCTCTCCTCTACATCCAACAATCTAGTTTAAGGAGCAGAATATACTTGGATGATTAACAAATGGGATAGCAGAATGGAAAGTATTAAATTCTGTCCCAGAAGAAACCACTTTGTTTTTGTGTTTGTGAAATGTTATGAAACTCATGCACTTAAAATGTAATATAAATATTCAAGAAAATATGCTTCTAGTTTTAGAGAGAGTAAAGTCAAAGGCAGGAACAAGACTTAATTTAGTTTCATTTTAATAACAGCAGTAAATACTTGATCTGAGAGTGGTAAAGATCTCTTACTGTCCCTATTCAACCTTTTCCTCTTCCCTCAAAGCAACCAGTTAAGGGTCAGTCTTCCAACATAATTGCTAGCAATTTTATTCAGACAATGAAACATCTTTCTACTGAGTGCCAGCACTATTTACTTCATTACTGTCTAGTGACAGCACACATGCTGAACAGGACAGAAAACTTAGATTCAACATCTCGCTCCACTGTGGGTTGTGTGATCTTTATCTTATTAGCAGTTTTTGCATTTTTGCTTTATCTCATTGCAGGTTTGTACACTGGGAAAAACAATAATATTTGCTGTGCCCATCTCACAGTGTTATTGTGAGCACAAGGGAGAAAACATGGGTGAATCCACATTATAAAATTTAATGTGATATGCTTCTGTTTCTTGGACAAAATTTACAGACATCTGCTGATACATTTTTTAAAGATAAAGAGAATCCAGCTGAATTAGATTCCAATATATTTCTTGGAATTAGTCACTTTGCATTGGTATAAAAAAGGCAATTTCCCCAATTCTGAATAAATTTTTAGATGACCACCCTACAACATTCCAGTTGTGAGGCAGTAATTCCCAATTAGTCATAGTTAAAGGAATACAAAAGTTTTTTGAAATAGAAAATTTCTAAAAATCACTCTCTAGTCATCGTGGATAATACAGAGTTGGGAAAGTATTTGTGATACATCCTGTGTTCTCCCAGCTTAAAGATGAGCAAGTTGGCCTTATTTGTAAACTATGAAGAGAAGAAGAAGCATTGCCCCTTCCAGAGCAAAAGAGGTTGACTCTGAAGCACACAGGCGTCAGTCAGTATATTAGCTGGATATTGATTCTCCCAAGGCTGACATGAGGAGCCAGAAGAGAGGAGCGATTTGAGGCTCAGGGAGCGGCCTGGCCGCCAAAGAAGAGGGAAGACACTGTATTTTCCCAGTTGTGACTAGGGAGAAGATTCAGCATCCACAAATTAAAGAGAGAAGTAAGGAAGGGGAGGACAGTGGTGTAAAGAGAAAGAGAGGGAATCGCTGGGCGTGGTGGCGCACGCCTGTAAACCCAGCACTCGGGAGGCTGAGGCAGGAGGATCTCTTTGAGTTCAAGACCAGCCTGCTGGGTTACATAGTGAGTTCCAGGTCAGTCTCAACTACTTAGTGAGACCCTGTCTCAAAAAACAAAATACAGGAAAAAAAAAAAAAAAGGAGGACGAGAAGGAATATCCGTGGGCAATTACTTGGAAAATATTTTAGGTTTTGCATCTTTAAAAACATGTCCTAAGTGTCCATCGACTGACAAATAGATAAAGAAAACATGGAGTATATACATAATGAAACACTAGCCTTAAAAAGGGAGGAAATCCTGGCATTTCTAGCAGTGTGGATGGACCTGGAGGACATTATGTTAAATAAAATAAGCCAGGCACAGAAGAAAAAGTGCTTCGTGATTTCAACAATATGTGAAACCTAACAAAGTTGAATTTAGGACATGGAGAATAGAATAGTAGAAGCTGGGGGTTAGGAAGAATAGAAAGATGTTGGCCAAAAGGTACAAAGTTTCAATTAGAAAGAACAAGTTTTGAGGATCTGTCATGCAGCATGATAATTGCAGTTAATAACAGTACGTTGTTAACAACAATATGTTGTATATGTGAAAACTACTGAGAGTAGATTTCACATGTTCTCACCCCAAAAATGATATGTATAGGAGCTGATGTTCATGTTACTTAACTTGACTTAGCCATTCCACAATGTACGCATACTTAAAAACATCACACTGTACATGATGGATATATACATTTATCAATTACAGAAATTAATTATACTAAAAAAGACTATTTAGTCTGGGAAACAGCCACCGTGAGTTCAAAGCAAGATGCATGTGATATAAAACAGAACTTGAAAGCCTCACCTTGTTCAGACAGTGGGAAGGATAAATTTTCAAGAAGCTTTAATGTCTTTGCTGGATGAACAATTTGCGGAGGTGGAATTTCAGAGGAAGCAAGAAGATTAGTTTTGTACTTGACTCAGGGTATTAAAGGTGCTCTAAAGAGATTCAATCAAAACCCCATTGCAGTCCTTTCATGCTTTTATTAATGTAGCAGACATTTTTTTCTTTTTGCTCTTCAAGTTTTTCAGTGAAACTTCTCTTTGTGAATATTATTAAACTTCTTGGGATGAAGGACTTTTAAAATACGTTGTTTGTAAAGTCCCATTATTCAGTTCTCTGCAGAAAGCCTTCTGCGGAGCTACCCACAGCCCTGCTTAGGACATGGGGGCTTACGAACCACCAAGGAACTCTGACACAACTCTGGCAGGGCAACTTTGCCAAAGGGAGAGAGTTGTTTGCAGCTGTTTGTCCACCTTTACCACAGCATCCTCTCATCTTGCTCCTTGGTGATGAATATTTTAGAGACAGGGCATGGTGTTAGCGCCCCAAGAGAACTTTGACTCAGCCTTTCTGTTGTGCTTTCCAGAGTTCATCTGAAGCCCTGGTCTCCCTTTGCTCTGGCTCCTCTGGGTTCCCCAGGCTCCTCCCAGCTCTCTCTGCACACTTCTGCCACGGTCCTTTTCTCACTTCTGCTGTTCACCTCAAATGCATCCTTATCGCCCCTTTTGCCACAAGCTGGAACCGAAGTCTTCAGTGATTTCTGTTTTGTTTTGTTTTGTTTTCCAGCTCTGCATAGGCAATAGAACATTGCCACATACTATCAGCTCTAAGGTCAAGAGGAGGAGGTTGAGGGAAAGAAGAGCCCACCTACACTTTGCTTTTATCTGGACTCTGTGCAAGCTCCTTTATACATGTTCTCTTACTGCCTCTGTGCAAATACTCCAGTATCTTGGAAGTGTATCATAGATCGGAAAAGCTGTTTTTTCAGTTTTTTTGTAAAGATTCACACAGAGCTCGTATTACGCAATGCATAGTTGAATAAGCAAAAGGAATTACTAGTCTGAGTAAATGGGGCTTTTCTTAACACCACGAAATTAAAACAAATTCAAGAGGGGACAAAAACTTCCTTTATGTGGACGCTGGTGAGGATTGTAGCTTTCAACTTTAAGGCCTGATCCCAGACGTGGGAGTTCGTCAAAACTATCTGTTCTTCCTTGGGAACCTGTATGTCCATTTCCCACACGTATTGAGTTACCACGGTCTCATAATAAATTATACAGCTATAAATCCATAAAAGATGTGTTATCTCCCACAGTATTGCATAATGTATATCTTTGAACACTAAGATTTTGCCATTTGTTCTAGATATTTGTATCTTCCCTTTTACAAGTATCCAAGCATCTTGAGGGTAGAAGTTTCATGGTCTTTATTTTAGTGTCCCTGGAGGGTGTAGCACAGTGCTGTACATAAGGCTTCTCAGGCAGCGATTGAGTGCATGGAGGATAGAAATAGTGTGTATATGTTTGTAGATATCCGTGTACTGCTTATTTACACAACTGAGTGGTGTAACAATAATAAAATTAGACAAGTCAACTTTGGATCAAAGAGAACTGTCTCCATGTTAATACCGACTAACCACTGAGGAGGTTAGTTAGAGAAACAAAGAAAAACTAAGGCACATTGGCCTGCAGCTCTCCCTGGGATACATTAGTGCACACTAGGGAAGCACATGTTGATAGTAACTAAGCATCTTTTTAAAAAAGACTTTTTACTTATCACATGCTCCTGAGTATCAGGCAGGTGGTTATTTGTATTTAAGTGACCTCACTGACTCTTGTTTTCTCAAAAAAAGAGATGATAGACTAAAAAAAGGTTGTGTAACCAACCAGTGGCCTGTAACATCCCACATGGTCTTTTGTTTAGTGCAAGTCTGTTAAGGGGGCATCTGATTGTTCCTACCAGATGTGTGGATTGTTCCAGAAATCAATCACTCCATTCAACTAGCATCCTCCTGAGTTAATTTGGCCTTTTAATCACCTCATTCTTTGTGTGCTGAAACTGATGATTGAAGAGGCATCAAACAATCTATCCAAAGCCTGCCCTGCCACAAAAAAAACCCACAAAGTGAAAATAGCTTATTTTAACATGAAATGAAAAGCCTCTGATAAATTCAGTTAAGTGATATAAACCTGAATTTCTGATGACATAATTTTTCTGTTATGTCAGGCATCAGAAGACAATTAGTTTCTTTAGTCGATATTAGAGAAAATACTTCTTTGCTAATCAAGAAAAGGGAAAATTAGGCCAGATGTTACCTTTTTAATTACCAGTCTCTTTCAGGACAATAACAGCCCAAGATTCCAGAGTCTTTGTGCTGTCACTAATTATCAGTGTAATCGGAAGAAAGCCGTCTACCCCAATGGCCTCAGTCACCTTGTTAGTAGATAAAGGGGTTGGAGCAGACATCCATGGTCTCTTCCAGCTCTGAGGGTCACAACTGTGTGAAATAGCTTAGTCTTTACCACTGTAAATACTATTATTTCACAGCGGTAGCTGCTAAGAATGTAAAAGTCATACTCATTTGTGGGTTTTCCTTAGAGCATATCACCATGGTAGAAGAGTGTATTAGCTTCCAGAGCCGTGCTCCTCCGTGCCCAGGGTGTGCTGTACATGTAAAGTATCACCAAATTTCCAAAACCTAATATGAAAAAGCATGATTTTTTCATGGGTTATGTATTGAAATGTTAATATTTTACTTATGTTTAGTTAAACAAAATATGTTATAAACTTGCCTGTCACTTTCACTTTTCTGTGCTACCCAGAAAATTTGAAATTATACTGTGGCTTTTCTGATATTTTTATTGGACTGTCCTAGTCTGGAGAGTTTCCTCTGCTACCCATGTCCTGATTTTAAGTTACTTGGGCACCTCCCAAAGTTGAAACCACCAAAACGAGGGGCTCTTGGCCTCGATATATATTAGAATCCCACTGGTATTAAAAAAAAATACTGATCTCCTCCTTCCTATAGTTCTGATTCAATTGATACAATTCCTAGTGACCTTTCTTTTGTAATTTACACATTTGTGAGGTGCAGTGCCACAATTTGATGCATGCATTCAAGGTGTAATGATGAAGATGGGATACTTGACATTTTCATTTTCTTAAACATTTAACATTTCCTTGTATTTGGAACTTTAAACTTTTCTAGCCCTTTATAAAATGC